TGCTCTTGGGGGAGTTATGGGGGATCCTCTGATTGGGCTGATTATAGTATTTTCTTGCATCTCACTCTCAGTTGCATTAGGATTAGAGTGGATTTGCTGGAGAGGTGAGCATAAGGAATGGTAAGTGTGGGCTGATGGGGTGGCCCAAGCAGCTGCCACACAGGGCAAGCCCCCATTGTCCCCACACCTGTAGAAGATACTCAAGCATTTGCCAGGAATGGGAGCAGTATGGTCTTGCACCACTGCCCTCAACACCTAATGAGCACACTGGGACCTGCCACCTGCTTGAGGGACTTTCTTCCTTTTGAAACCCCTGTGGATCTTCACGTGGTTACCCTTCCTCTATCCTCCAGTCCTTTCCATCACCAGCCCTTGGCTGTTGGCATGCACTCTAATATTCTCCCAGAGTTTTTCCACAGCAGCTCCAGATGCACAGAGATGTGTCTGCCAACAGCTTTTTACTCTCTGTGAGTTTCCTGTTTTGGGGAAGAAGGAACCCCCACCTTCTGGTGAAATTCAGGGAGCTGCTGATCTCTGGGGCAAGGACCATGGAGACCCAAGCTGTTGCGCTCCCCTGGGAGCCAGGGCTGTGCACAAGCTGCAGAGGGAGGAGATCAAGATTCCTGGCATCACTGAGCATCTCCCTGCTGGGTGGTGCGAGGCAGTTGGTCCCCAGCAGCCCCAAATTCAGCATTTGGAGCCACAGCATGGCAGGGAATGCACACAGTGAGGCTGAGGATGGACTGCACACTGGGCAGGGCCAACATCTGAAACGTGCTGGATCTCACAAAACACAGAGGTAAGCAGGGTGATGATCCAGGGATGCCCATGTGTGCATCCTGGGGTGCTGCAGGTCATGGGATGTTGTCTTTCCCCCACTCCCCTGCCCACTGCCCCAAGGTCAATGTGGTCTGAACACTGCTGTGAGTCTGGCAGTTGGGTTGTTTCAACCCCAGCTCAGGACTGGCAGGTCCCAGCAGGTTTCCAGGTACACCATGGGCCTTTGGATGCCCCAGAGATCTAAAGGCTAAATAAAGCTGTAGGATCCACTCTGCATAATGCTTGGGTCCAGCTCCAAGAAACCTGGCTGCTTTTTATGGCATCTCTATCAGCAGTTTCCAAGCGGTTTGTGTCTAAGTGTGTAGAAGAACAGAGCCATGCCAGCTAGGGAGGAGATGGGCTTCACATTGAAGTGTTATTTTTATTTTCTTTTTCCCTTTTCCTCCTTAAAAAACCCCATTTGGGCCTCCAATAAAAAAAAACAAAACATCTGGTACTGGGTATTTGGCTGCTGGGAGGCAGCTCCTCATTACTGTAAAGCACAGCAGCGATGCAGGGATTCCTGGTATGGATCAGTAACACTTAAGGTAGTGTTCATGTGTTATCTCTGTCCTTCCTGCCCTTTGGATGTGTGGACCAAGGACATTGAGGGAGCTGTGGTGCTCTGTGGCAGCATGGAGGTAAATCATGCAGGTTAGTAAAAATGCAATCGAATCTGTAAAGAGTCCTTCAAGCCTGATTTATTGATGCTCTCATGTGAGGTCTTAGCAGGGCGAGATTCTGCTGTGACAAAGACAAGCCAGCAAATCACAGGAACGTGGTAGGCATTCAATGAATGGGGGGGACCCTTTGGCAGGGCCACCCTGAACCCTTAATGTGCCACCCTGACAGGGCTCAGGGCTGCTCCCCTACCCTGGGCCAGCAGCGAGGCCAAGCTCTGCCCACCCAGCTTGCTAGCTCTGCATGAAGAGGTGGAAGTTGGTCCTGGTGAACTCTTGATGGATGCTGTCAAGTAATCTGTCTGAGTCCTGGGGGATATCTGAGAGGACCTGCTGCCCTGGGATGAAGCTCTGTTCTGGGGTGTAGGTGAATGTGAACGAGCTGGAGTAGATAAGACCATCATCCCTGATCAACAGGAGTGGAACCGTGATGGGATATCGCAGCCACCTCCAGTCACTGCCAAAGGCAGAGATGTCAGGGACAACACACACGAGGGATTTGGGGCTCCTGGGAACAGTGCAGGAGAAGAAAATGTGCATTAACTGAGGAGGGTCCCATGCAGGAGCAGATGGCAGCAATTCCCTGTACATCTCCAGCCTGGAGCTCAGCATGAAGCCTCTGGCCAGTTTCCTCTCTCCTCCCCAGTCTTTCAATCCTGTCTGCCAGGGTTGCTTGGTCATTTGAAGCCCCCTGAGGTCCTTGTCATCCCCCACCCATGGCTATCTCCAGACTGCAGCCAGGGCGGAGGGGTGGCACCAGACTTGTCCCTGCCTCTCCTTGCAATGCTTGTACCTGGTCCTGCAGAACAGGCAGTGCAAGTGCTCCATTGCCAAGGTTGGCAGCCACATACCTCCCAGAGCTGCCCAGTGCAGCCCAAATCTGGCTGCCATTCCCTGCCTGCTCCCCGGTCCCCTCATCCATATACCTGTACATTGTCTCTGCTTCCACATCTCCGAACCAAACCTTGAGATGTGCGTGGAAATACTCCCCCTGCACCTCCAGCATGGCCACGTCCCCACCGCCCGTGATCTGTGATGGGCAGAGTGTGTGACAGTGTGTTATGTGATGGAATGTGCCAGACTCCTCCTGCAGGATGCTCTGCCTGTGTGTCCTGTTTGCTCCTTGGCAGCCCAGACCTGGGCATTCCCACAGCATCCCAAAACCAGGAGATGCTAAGCTCAGGAGCAGGAACCATGACAGAGGCAGGTGACAGGGAGACTGGGGTGGCCTGTGGCTGGTGCTGTGCCTACCTGCAGAGCAGCAATGAGTGGCACAGGGCTGACAGGTTCACGGACACAGGTCAGGCTCTCACTGAAGGTGTACTCCACTGTCTCGGTGCTGATGATGGTCCAGCATGAGCCGTCATTCAGCAGCTCCCGGTTGGCTTCCTTCGGGCAGGGAGATGCCTGTGGAGAGAGTCACAGCTCCAAGCACACTGCAGTGGGGATGGCAGGAGATCAGGCCTGGGACACCTGGCTTCTGTCCTCAGTGTGTTGGTTCCAGCAAACAACTCCTTCACTCACTGGGAAACTGGGATCATGATGCCTTTGCAAAAACCTCAGTGATGATGTCCCCACCAAGGCAGGCAGATGGCTTTGCAGTGATTCTGACCTTAATTTGGATGCAAATCCCCATTTGCTGGAAGACCCCTCACAGTGACATGTTCCTCAGCCAGCAGCAACACAGAGGAGCTTGGAGAGAGGATGGGGAGCACCCTGGGGGTCCTCACCCCCTCCTGCACTGCCATACCTGGAACTGGATCACTTTGTCCGTGGAGAGACACAGGTACATGCGGTCACTGCCTTGGAACTGGAAGGCACATTTGTGGAGCTGTGAGATGGGCTCATCCACATCCAGCATGGCATACTGCTTCATCACCTTCCGGATGATCTGTGGGCAGCATCACCCCAGGGTTGGTACCCATTGCTCAGAGCCACGGGGCAGCCAGGTCCGTGTGCCTGACACCCACAGGGATGGAGGCTTACCAGGGGTGGCAGGGTGACACCGGTGGCCGTGCAGACCAGCTGGACCACGGAGCCGTAGCGGATATATCCTTCCCGCAGGGGGAACTCGCTCCGGGTGCAGTGCTCATCGGCTGGCCAGGAAGGAGAGAGGCAGAGTCACCACCCCAAGCAGCCAGGGAGCAGGCTAACCTGGACTGCCTTGCTATGCACAGGTTTGGCTGTGCTCCCAGTGCTTCCTTAGTGCTGTCTCTGCTCTGCAGGTGCTCACTGCTTGGAGAGACCACTGCTGCCTGCGAGCCCAGCACAGGAGAGTGGGACTGGGATGTGGTACCTTGCAGGGTCATTGCTGGAGGCAGAGTGGGCAGTGATGCTGCTGGGCTCTGGCCTCTTCCAGGCAAGTTACTTGCTCAGACTTACGAACCTCCAGATGAGTACAGCTCTTGCTGCCCTGGTCACAGCCCCTGTGCCCTTGGGGGCATGATGCCAACCCTCAAAGCCAGTGAGAAATGTCCAAAGACATCAGGAACACTGGGCAGAGATGAGACTGAGACAGATTCCCATATCCCCGGGCTACTTCCCAGCCTTTTTGACCCCAAGAACTGGTTTTGCAGGAGGGCAGAGCCAGGGCTGAAGGCAAGCAGCCCTGCGAGTGTCCTTACCCAGGTGGAGGGTGAAGGCTGCCCACTGCCTGGCACTGGCGATGAAGGCTCCTCCCTCCACTGACAGGTACCGAGTGCTGACAGTCTGGGAGCGCAGGCGGTTGAAGAGGGACACTTTGGAGCCCGAGGAGATGCAGACTGTGGGGAGAGGTGGCTGGGTTAGTGTTTGCCAGGTCTGAATTATGGCTCTGTCAATCTGAGGGAGGACAAGTCCTGGTTCCTGGTGTACCCAGCCTGGCAGCAGCCAGCACCCTCCCCATCGCCCTTCTCTGTGTGCGAGTGCAGGTGAAGCCCACGTTGTGAGGAGCACATTGGCATCAGACTGTGATGGGTGAATCATTTGGAAATGAGACATCAGTATGCCCAGATACATCCTCTTTTGGGAGTTCCCATGAGCTTTGACTCCAGCCTGGAGTACTCTGGAGCCAAGCTGTGTGCACTTGGAGAGCATCCCACCCTGGGCTGGCACCCACTTTCCTCCCTGCAGAGCCATCCCTGTACGCACGGTCTGTGTTCTTCAGCGACTGCTTCTTCTGTGAGGGCTTGGAGATGACCTTGATGAGTTTGCTGTGGAAGGTGCCAATCTCCTGCCCATTGCTGAAGAAGAGCTTCAGGACGAGACGGAAATGCTTGCGCTTGTCTGTGTCCGAGATGTACAGCGCCTTGGCACAGCTGAACCCCTGCCAAGGGCAGAGAGGGGCTGCTGGCAGCTCCAGCCCAGCCCCACCAGCCTTCCTCACCACCCCACAAGGACATAATAGCCCCCTTTCAACGAGCCCTGGGTTCATTTAAAGGGGGAAACAACCAGAGATGTTATTACAGGTGCAATGAAGAGCTGGGGATCAGTGAAGGCTTTATTTACACTGGTGGCAGAGAATTCCTTATGGAAATGAATGTTCACGTGTGATTTATCCCACATAACATGAGAAACCGCCCTGGGTTTATGGTTTCCCCCATCCTGGCTGAGATACTGTGCCTTAGCAGCAAGGCAAGCACTGCAGACAAAGGCTCTTTCTGTGAGGTTCCTGGCCTGGCTCAGACCCTGCACTCTTCGGGGGACCCAGATAATGCTTTTTCTCCTATTTTTCCCCTGCAACCAAAAGATGTCAGAGCTCTGCTGGAGCTTTTGAACTTTGGGATCAGTTGGAGGTTTTTGGTTTTTTTCTGTTTGTCTTAGAATGAAGGACCAGTCTTTCATTTCATTTCATGACAAGCAGCAGTGCTGCTCATCAGGAGAAGGTACCAGGGTTGAAGGAGCTGTGCAAATTTTGGCAGCTCACGTGCCACAGGGCTGTCGACCTGAAAATGTGGTGCCAGAGAAATATGGGGATCTTGGCAAGGCAGGGGAGCCTGCCTGGCTGCCTGGACTGCTGCCTGTGCCACAACAGGGAACAGGAAGCAATAGCTTGGAAGGAAGGATCACGACATCCCAAGGAAGGGGATGATGTGACATCCCAGGGTGTGGGGAGATGCTGGTGACAGCCCAGCCCCTGCATGAGTGGGGTCCCCACATCCCAGTGAGTAGTAAGTGAGCTTTACCTTTGCATCTGGTTGCTCCTCAAAGCTGAGCTTCTGAGTCTCCATCAGGCTGCTGCCCATGCTGTCCAGCCCCATGTACCCACACACCCGAAATCCAGCCTCTCCCAGGTCCCTGGCTGGAAGAGACAAGGAGAAGCACCTTCCAGCCCCAGCATGAGCTTGGCTCCACCTGGCACAGAGCATGGCCCAGGCTCCAGCCCTCTCTGGGTATGGATTGCAGATGCCTCAGCCTCAATGGGAAACAAGGAGTTTGAGGGGTAAAGATCACATGAACTGTGTCACTCTCCCCTTTGCAGAGACAGAGGGCAGCTCTCTGTGGCACAGCAAGGCAGAGAGGAGAGTTCCAGGGCTGCTGCCCAGCACTTACCTTTTATCTGCTCCTGCTTTAGCTTCCATCCTGGCCCACTCAGGTAAACACATGGGGGAGGGCAGAAAAACCTGCAGAGACAAGAGAGCATTTTCTCACTGCCCTTCAGCATCCCAGAAAGGTGCTCGGGGGTGTTGCGATGGCTGTGCTGAGAGTGGAAACCTTTGCTGGGACTTACCAGCACCAGGACCAACCCTGTGCCTCTAGAGGTATATGCTGAGCTTGGGACTCCCATCTGGGGGTGAGGGCAGGGGTGGTTGGAGGTTTTGGGCTCTGCTGAAGCAGCTGTCTCAGCCTCTGCCCTGCACCCACTGCCGCCACCACCAGGCTCTAGTCCAGGACAGCTGCTACATCTGGTGGTGCCACTAGTGGCTGGGGGGGCCAGGATGGCCCTAGGGTGGGAGGACAGGGACCTTCGCACCCCCACCTCCACCCCCTCAAAGTCAAGGAGTGATCAGACCCTGTCTCTGCCTGCCTGCCACGTGGGATTTTTGGCAGGTCAGGAACAGAGTTTGCATTCACGTTTCAGAGCCCAACACAAATAAATCTATAGCCAGGGGTTTAGAAACCTATTTTCCTGTGTTTTGTTTGGATTTCCACTGTCTTTGCACTTGTGTGAATGGTGTGAATTCATCCTCTATTGATGCTGGGTAAAGCACTAGCAGAGAAAACACCAGTGCAGGGGGTTAGATATTTCAGAGCCCTAAAGTCCTGGGTATGGGTTTATTTAAACAAGTCATCCACAGCACAGGCCCCTAGTTCTGCTGTGTAGGAAAACAGCACCAGCACCTTTAAACTTTATCCTGGGAGCTCTGTGTCTGTTCTCTCTCTTTCTTTACAGACCTGGCATCTGATTTTCACACTCATCCCTTGCATGGGATCTAAAGCAGAGGAAAGAGGCTGTCCCAAAGGCTCAGTGATGAGAGAGCTCCCTCCTGGCTGGAAGACTCAATCCCAAAATAACATCTTTACCTGGGGACCAGCAGCCCCTGGCAGAAGACTAGATGTGGTGAAGACTTTGTAGTCACAGCCAACCCAGCCTAGAGCTGTCTCCTGGGGTCGCTGGGGTCTGGGTGGTTATGCCCTAGAGGCTGAGCTCGTCCCCTCATAGCTATTCCACACTCGGTAATAACGGAGGAGTATTTATATCACAAGGATTAATGGAGGATTAATTACATTGCAGTGCCGCAGTCTGATGTCACTGCCCAGGAGTAGCAATTTTGGAGATTCAAGCCAGAACCTCAAGGTGTTTTTGCAGTGTGGGAAGGATTTTCAAAAATAGCAGCTTTCTGGAGACCATAGGCATTGATGGCAACGTCCCAGTCCCTGCTGTGCCCATGCAGACATTAGACAAGACTTCCAGAGCACTTAAAACATTAACCTTCCTCTTCGTAAATTCACTCTTGAGGGGTAAGATTTGAATAATACCTTTCCTTCTTTTACTTCATCTTTCTTTCCCACTTCATGGAAGGAAGGTAACAAGGAATGTCTAACTGGGATGGATGCAGATAGGGGTTAATATCTCGCTTGTGTTATTCAGTTCATGAAGACTAAATGATGGTTTTGGATGTAAGGAGGTCATGAGTGGATGGAGAAAGGATATGTCAAATCATTTGCTTCACCAGCTCAGATCAGAGATATCTGGCAAGGCTGGAATGGAGTTTTAGGCAGCTAGGTTGGAAGTGGCCATTGGAGAAGCTGGAGCAATCTCCTACCTTTTTTCGTTGCCGTACGACTTCTGTGCAACTTTGGCATGCAATATCAGCACTGTCTGGTCTGCTGGCAGCTGCAGGTACCTCCGCACTCCATCCCGAAGCAGATTGGCTTGGTATGGGTTGGATCTACAAGAGAGCAGTCCCCCAGCACTGTGACACCTGAGCCAGCTCCTCGCCCTGCCCTGCAGCCTATGCCAAGCAGGGAGACTGGAGCTCCCTCAGTGTCCATCCTGATGGGGTGGGGAAGGTGGAACTACTTTCCCATTGGAAAGCACTGGAGTTCAGGTGCTCTAAGACTGGGGCTGGCATTGAAAAATATAAAGTTTGGATAATGGAATAACTGCTTCATCAGCCTGCGATCAAACACACACAGGGCACTACGCTAATAGCTCTGAAAAATGTATTTCTAAGACTTCCAGCCCTGTGCAATGGTGGCACTGCTCTAATTGATTATTAATTTGTTTTTCCACCTGATGTGCTTGTTGCTGTATGGCTTTTTGGTGAGCTGGGAAACGATGCTGCTGAGCTGTGAGTGCAGCCAGGCAGCTGTCACGTGAGGAGGAGATGCGTGTTGCCTTCTGCAAGGGCTGTTGGGTGAAAGCAGCAGCATTTTTCTCCAAGACCTAAGTAGTAGGTGTTTTTTGCTGATTGTTTCTGCTCTATTAACTAGAAGGAGTTCTCATACACCTGGCATTTAACTCCGCTAATTTAGTAGGTTGGGTGCTAACCGGCTGGAGAGAGGGTGAGGCCAAGCACAGGGTGCCCTGCTCTGCCATCTGGGACATGTGTGCAAGCATGAGCGGGGAGAGCTATGGGGTGTCAGCTCAGGAGACCTTCTGTGGCACTGACTTGCCTTCAGAGGAGGTGAGACCACCCATCTGAACAACACCAGCTCCTGCCCCACTGAAAGCCCCTAGATCCCCTGAGTCTGCAATAAGAGCAATCCCTGAGTGAGCCATGGTCACCCAGGGAGAAAACTGCAAGAGGTATGCAGAGGAGCATTCCCATTAAACACAGTCTGTCTTCCTATTAAATGGCCTAGAAATGGAGAATAGTTGAGGGCACAAATGATCAGATGTGTGAAGAGAGGTAAGTCTGGTCCTGACATCACTCCAGGGCAGGCTGTGGTGAGCTCTTCTGCACTCAGAAGGCCAGAGCAGGCTCCCAGGGAGACAAGCAGCAAGAAGTCATTCCAAGCAGCCTTTTAGAAGAGTTCACCTGTCAATTCTCTTCTTCTCAGTGCAACACACGTTTTTGAAAAGGCTGTGCCCCCTACAGCTTTTATCACCCATGTTGCAATTCACTTTAAGCATACATCCCTTCAGTTCCAGCTTTCCCACCTCTGGATGGAGCTGATGCTCTCCTGTTGTAATGTGGAAGACAAACACATCTCCTATACAAGCAAATATTTACCCAGTGCCTTCTCTGGGTAGTCCCATGAGGACCTGACACTTTGCACTCCACAGATGTGCCCAGCATTGCTGTGTGTGGTTGCTAAATGGGCAATATAATTTCCTGCCCTCCTCACTTCTTCATTCTAGACGTGTTAGTTGGATCACCAGCAAACATAAATTAGCAGCTCTGCCAAAATCAGACTTACTTCCAGTGCCAGTGTCACCCACAGCATTAGCTGCTGCTCTGTGCCTGGAAAATGAATGATTTATGGCCATTCCTGGCTGCAGAGCACATGCTGCCACCAAGCTCTGCTCTTGTTGCAACCCCAGTGCTGCTGCCAGCACAGGGCTCTGGGCTCAGCCCAGGCTCACCCCGTGGCACTCATGGCAAGGCAGGAGGAGCTCCTTTGCCAAGGAGCTCTATTCCCTCCAGCCCTCCATCGTGGTGCTGGGAGACTTCTGCTAAAGCACACCAAAGCTGAACTTTATCAACCAGTATCCCACCAGTGCCCACTCCAGGGGGGGTTACTTAGTCTTGCAGAAAAGCTTCACTCCAGCCTCGCTATCCAATGAATAGTTTATATTTTTGCATAGCCAAAGAGATCCCATAAGAAAGTTATTCAGTCTTTTTCCGTAATGGCAATCTGCAGCTGTCTCACTCCTCTGCTGCCAAGCAATGGTGTGATTTCAGCTTTGATCTGCCTTTGCTATTTTTCTCTTCATCTAAAAGCACCATGTGGGAATCTCTGCAAAAGTTTTGGTTGGTTTGGGGGTTTGTTTGCTTGTTGTTGTTTTGTTTGCTTGTTTGTTTTTACCGAACTACTGATTGTGATCAAGACAAACTTGGAAACGGATCAGGAAATGGACCTGACCCTGGATACTCTTTCACACTAATCCAACAGAGTGTTAAATGAGCACTGAACCTTGCTGGCTCTGCTCAGTAGAATTTCACCCTCAGTTTGTCAGAGACAACGGGCACAGAGCAGAGGAGAACTAGGCTGGGTGTGTGAATTTTTTCCGGGTGAATCTCATCATTCAGTATTCCGTGTAAAATTAGGAGTATAGCTTTGGGTCTTTGTGTCTCAGCTGCAGAGACATGTGCTCCATCCCTGTTAGTGCCACCCACAAGCACCAATGTGCTCACCAGTGCCCATCCATATAGCTTGTGGTGTCCCCATGGGACTCCTGCCATTAACCCATCCACAGGGTATGGAACAGCCTGGTACTGAGGCCAGGCAGCAGCAGGGAGTGTTCAGGAGCAAATTGCCAAAATCTGTGGATTAAGACGTGTGCTGACAGCATGGCCAGCAGCAAAGCCTGCTCTGCAGAGCCTCCTGCAGCACTGGCTCGGGGCAGGGCCAGGCTTGTGCAGGTATCACTGCTCCCTGCCATCCGTACGTAATTCCAGAGGCACGTGGGTTACTGCCCGGAGCTTATGAAAGAGCTTTCTGGAACAATTACCCACATGCTATTTACTGCTTAAAGTGGGACCGTGCATGCCAAAGGCAGGTAAATAGGCTGTAGTTCTTCAGATTTGTCTAGCTGGAGGACAACTACCTAGAAACTTGGTTTTCTTTTCTTTGTTTTCTGCAGTCATTGCCTTCCAAATTTTGGGGCTAAATTGTTTCAGTGACACACTTGTGAACAGTGCTTGCCATTCTGCTCACAGAGGCGACCACCCAGCATCCATCATCTGGTTTAAATTTACCTTCAGAGAGTCAAAGGGCTATTGCTAAAGCAGCTCAATATACCCACTTGGCTCCTTCTGGCACCTACAGCCTCCTCGGGGTTACAGGGAATTATTCACTCCTTCTGACATTTATTATATTAAATTATTAAAATGCTTTGGTTGTAGTGCAGTGTTAGTTCAGTGTCATGTTAGCAGTGCTGCACGGGCCAGGCTCTTAGCACTCTTGCTAAAAGCCTCCTTTTCAGAGCCTGAGGTCTTGGCTGGGGCTCGGCTGCTCTCCACACAGTTGGGCATTATATAGAAGAAGGTGAGGAGCGAGGGGGGAGCCACCACCTTTCTCTTACACCGATTTTTGTAAGCTTTTCCCCCTCCCTGCTCAGCCTGGCATTGCTTACCAAGGTTTTTCCTTTGCTTTAGGTCAGGATGTGCCCCAGGAGAGGGTGTGAGCACATTTGCAGTGCATCTCTAGGGTGGCTCTGCCCTGGTAACCGGAGGTGGGAAGGACCCAGGAGACCTGGGGGGACTTGCACACCCTGTCCGTGCTGCTGTGCCCCATGCGAAATGAAGCAAAGAAGGAGGAGTGCCCTGTGTGCTTTCCACAGGAGGCACACAGCTGGACCACCTTGTAAAGGGCTGTTTCATGTGGGCACACAGGGAACCCAGGCAGGCGCCGAGAGGCTTGGGCAGGGTTGGACCCTGCAGTCACATTGCTGATTTTAGGAGAGCTGGTGTTTAACACCACAAACGAAAATTAGCCCTCGCCTTCCCAGCAGCAAGTGTGGGGGCATCACTCTGTGCTTTGTCCTGCCTCCAGCTATATGAGACATATCCTGGTCCTCACATCACCTTCTGTGTGTGCACCCTTGGGCAACCACAGGAGCAGAAAAAGCATTTTACGAGCACTGGGAGAAGCAAACCACTCTCTGCCTTCCAGTTCACTGAGCTTCACCAGCTCAGTTTGCAGAGGAAGGGATCTGATTTTTTTTTTTGTCCCCTGGGAATGAAAGTACCCAACTCAGGAGACCAAAATACAATCCCAGCAGCTATTGTTTAGAAAATGGGTCTTCCAATCAGCTCTTTATACAAGAACTTTAACCCACAGTAACAATGTCCTCAAGTGCAGGTAGCACTGAATTGAAGTGCAGAGATCTAATTTGTGGCTTTTCCCCCCAAAAGGAGCTGCTGTTTGCCTTGCTCAGGACATGGCTACCCTGCAGCTTACTGGGGACTTGCTGCCACAGAGGGCAATTGTTCTTCCCTCAGCTTGGGGAAACCAAATGTCCTAATAAAAAATATCCATTTTAGAGGTCTGGGTTATATTTTGTACAGAGCAGGGGAGAAAACGCCTGCAGTGCTCTTGGGTATGGAGTCAATGCAATGTTTATGCAAAAGGAAAAGCCATTAGAAATCACAGAAATGAGAAGCCTGCAGTTTCTGGCTTCCCTCATTTTTCAATACCTCCTTTAATCCAGACCAACCCAACCCACAGCCCTTGTATATGCACGGGTATTTATAAATCCTATATTTTCCTCACTGCACACACAAGTGAAATTCAGCCTTTTCTGGGCCTGGGGGATTTATCGACCACACCAAGGGCAAACACCAGCCGAGAGCAGAAAGCATGAAAGCCCTGCAGCAGTGAGCTCTGTGGGGAGTGGGGACCAGCTGGGGTGGTCACCCCAGGAGTGCCAACACCCCAAAACACCCAGGTTTGCCAATGCAATATTGGCTCTTTGCTAGAAAATTCAGATAGCAGCAGTGATTTACTGTAGTCTCCTTTCTCAGCTCTTCATGGAGCCATTCATGTCAATGCAAAGAGGAAGGGACGTGCTGTTAAAGCCCTAGAACACAGTCCTATAAAGCACTAAAGGTGGTTCCTACCACCACTAGATTGATCTAAGTGCTGGGAAGAGGTGAAGGTCTGCAAAGGTCTATTCCAGGCTTATTATAAGCCCCTGATGATGATCTCCATTGTACATCACTTGACCTTCTTGATGGAAGCTCAACCTGAG